CCCCAAAACCCCAAAACCCCAAAACCCCAACTGAATAGATTTTAGCTCATAATCTATTCAGTTGGGGTTATAGTAGTAAGTAGAGGTAATAATAATAATACTTAAAGTAAATATTTCTAAGTGATTCCAGACAAAAGTGATCCTGAAAATTCCTAAGACAGTTAGTTTAATACTTTTCAGCCATTCAAGCATTGTTATTTTGATATTTGTCATTGGTTGTTGGATTTTGCTAGGGCTGAGCTGAATTTAATTGGTTATCTGAAATATTGTGCCAGTTGTATATATCATTTCCTGAATATGTATTGAGCTGTTGATTCGGGTTCTCATAAATTCCATCCGCTAAATTATTTCCTAACTAACTATAGTACTGTTCATGCCTTTTCTCTTCCTCTCTTCTTTGGTTGACCCTGCGTCTCCATAAATAAAATCCAATAGCTAAACCTACAACAACTATAGCTATAACTATAATGGGTAAAACCCACATGTTCTTTTGAACATCAATTACTCCATTAGAATAAGGATGAATAGCCAGTCCAACTCTTTTATTTTCAAAGTCGTAAACAGAGTAATACTGCTTTAAGAAAACGTTTCCCATTATATAAAAGTTAAAGTATGAAGCTGCGATACCTCCTTAGATTCCAATAACACAAAGACCTGGCACTCCAAACTCAATACCATTGATAAGATAGTCTGAGGGCTGAATGTTGTAGTAGTACTTATCGTCGAATTTGAATTTTAAAACTTTAAGCTTCTTAGAAATATGTGAGCATGACCCTACGCTATAGCAAATTTGGGAATTGCAATGAATTTCTGGTTCACTTTTCATCCAAAGTTTGCTTAATTCACGGAATTCATCAAATGGAACTACTATAAGAGTAGTACCAGTATCAATGATTGCCATATCAGTATCCTTTTGATAATAAGTCTATGTCCCATAGGTAGCATCTTCAATCTCAATCTACCACCATGTTTGACTTTTAAGCTTATACCAATGTAAGCCATAGCCTTTACTTTGATCTCCTGCTTTGATGTAAGCATTTTCATAACCACCGAACTAGACCTTAGATTGATGAGTGCTGTAGCCAATAAAGAATGACACGATCTTGAAATCTATAAAGTTCGCTTCTCTCAGCTTTTAAATAAAAGATGGACCATTTTAGGGGATATCTGGAGAAAGCCCTAAAATTCCATCAGCATCATCAAAGCCCTCCTACTTTGTTATTCCTAAAAATGTAAAGTTCTTTGCACAGAACTGATTTAGAGGATCAATGCAAACATCATCTGCGAGTATTTGCCCATCAAGTGAAGCTGAGCCATACTATATAAGCTTAAGTATTTTTATATTCTTACATTTAAGGTTTTGGTATCGCTATAGACCATCACTGAAGTAGAAGACTCGCTAGGATCATATTTGGTATCATTACAATTTGAACATGACTTCTAAGTTACTGTTAGCCACCCTGACCCTGTATCAAAGATAATCTCATTTCTTGATTATTGGCTTCCAAAATACATCAGGCCAGTATAATCAATCTCTTGGATATTATTCAAGTTAACGTTTATTGCAGGATCTAAATAATGTCATGCATCAATATAAAGACAATGAATACTTACAAGTATGAAGCTGTCCATTAATATTCTTGAAGACATCATCGTTGAATGTATTACCGAATTTAGATACTGGTTATCTGCGATTCTTTGGTTCTAAATGTATTGTGAACTCAACATCATCCTCTCTCAAGATTACTAAGTTTGAGAAACACAGCAGCGATATCACGCTTATCTAAACGATTCTCATCCCTCTATATTAATAATATATTAATAAGAATTTAAAGTATAATTAAACTCTGATTGAATTGCACATGGGGTTTTGGGGTTTTGGGGTTTTGGGGTTTTGGGG